CTGTGGTAGCCAAACAGCTGGATGAGCTGGGCCAGGCTCACTGATGCACCTGCTGTAAGGGGGTGCATCGGGGAACATGCTGCGCACTATCCTAGACAGGGCTCTTGGCCTTGGAGGCTCCACATTCCCTTCTCACAAAGTTCCATAGCCCCCTCTCCCAGGCACCCTCGAATGCAGGGCAAAGGGGAGGAGGAGAAGTCAAGGGCAAGCTTACACTTGACCAACAGAGATGTATCCCGGAGCAAGAGGCTGTCTTTCTCACACCTGAAATAGGCCACTTTCTATTCTCTTCTCCCATCCCTGAAGCTCCTGCCCTGAACGCTTTTTCTGTACCTGCTTGTGTTCCCTAAAAAACAACCCCTCCCCACTCCATGATTTCTCAATAACACTATCTTTATGAATTGCGCTTAAGGAGGGGGAGTTTACAGAGTCTACCAGCAAGCACACAACAGATGGGGCACCTTGTTCATAGCAGCAGGCATGACTGTCATCACTGTCTGCCTTTTCACAAAGCCGTTTTTCAAAGCCTCTCTAATTTGCAGTGCCCTTCAGTGTGCTCTCCTTGCTGTCCTGGGGTCTGGCTGCTCATAATTAACGTCTAGGCTCTTTGCCTCAGCCACCAATCCCAGCATAAAACCTTCCCAGGCTGCCTGCGTACAGCTTCATGAGCCCTGGAAGCAAGGGGTAGGCCAAAGATCACTCTTGGTCAGGACTATGCAACACACAGCTCCTGGGCCGCATCTGGCCTGCTGGCCATTTGTTTGTGGCCCACGGGTGGGAGCCAAAACAAAAAAGCAGTCAATAGAATGGTCTTCTGTTGAGATGTGTTTTACTAGTTAAATTCCTGGACTGTCATTGCTCATGAAAAGTGCAGTCACATGGGTGGCAATTGGGTAAATATTGCATTTTATTCATATCAGCAGAACTGATTTAAATGGGACCTACGTGTTGTGTAGTCTTGCCTTAATCTTTGTATTCATTCCTGTAGGTGTAAAAGAAAGTCTTTGCATATATATTTTCATGTCTATACAACCACACTTCAGTCGTGGCCTGTGGCATGTGCTGTGAGTATCACTGTGGCTCCCGGGGCTTCCAACATTGAGCAGCCCTGCTCTTGGTAGTTGCATGTCTCTAATAGTACAGTAATTGTTTGCTCTGGGAAAATTCCAGCTTGCAACTTTCTGAAAAACAGGCGCTCCCAAAGATTTGTGCATCGTGCATTTTTCCCGACCATCCCACGCTGATGTTGGTGAAAGGACCCTTGTGATCCACAAGCATCTGTAGCACCATCGAAAAGCACCCCTTGCGCTGTATGCACTCCTTGGCGAGGTGGGTCAGGGGCCGAGATGGGGATGTGCATCCTGTCTATCGCCCCATCACAGTTAGGGAACCCCATCACCGCAAAGCCAGCCACAATGTCCCCCACGTTTCCCACAGTCACAACCCTCCGAGGCAGAAGGGCGCTAATCGCCTTGGCTATGTGGATCACAGCAGCCGCTGCTGTCCATTTCCCTACTGCCAACTGATTCCCAGCTGACCAGTGGCATCTGGCGTTGCCAGCTTCCGCAGGGCAATTACCACTTGCTTCTCCATTGTCAGAGCTGGCCTCACGTGGGTATTTTTGCGCGTCCAGGCAAGGGAAAGCCATTCACAGACTGGCCTGCGTGAGGGCCACTTTCACCAGAGGGGTTTGCAGCCACTGCTGATCATCCCATAATAGCATAACTCTGCGGTCTCACCGGTCTATCTCGCGGCACCGGCCAGATCAGCCCAGTGTGGAAACAACACGCCCTCCCCCCCATTTTTCCAGGGGTCCAAGTGATCTCCTCCGCCCCCCCACACACACATACATGGACATGGGGGGGGAGAGTCAGTTTCCCCCTCCCAGCAAATCACGCCCGCTCTGGGGTTTAGACAGGGCTGGATCCTGTTCCTTCTCTCTCCCCCTGTCTCTGAGGGGCTGGGTCACTCTGCACTCAGCAATCTCTGGGCAAAGGCCACCGGGCCCCAGGAAAGGGAGAGGGGCCATGGGCAGGCAGCCCTCAGCAGGGCTATACTGGGGAGCTGCCCCCCCAGTACCTACAGGTCTGCGGGGAGGCACCGTTCCCACAAAAGGTCAAAGAGGAGGTGCCGCTGGGGCTGCCAGGTATCTGGTATTGAACCAGACAGTCGAGCATTTGGAGTTTGTGTCTGGTAAACAAATTGAGAAATTAAGGAAGTTTTTCTGCTTCTCCTGGGCCCGGCTCGGCACCCAACAGAAGCCTGCTTGGGACATGTGGCAATTCAAGGGGCCGCAATCGCATTTCGGCCCAACCTCCCTCATCCCACCCTGCCAGATCTCCCTGGTTACTCCCCGGCGCTTTTTTTTTCTCCCCTCAACAAATTTTTATCAAGTTTTTGTCTGGTATTTTTTTTGAAACCATCTGGCAACCCTAGCTGCTGCTGTTCCTGCAGCACTGGTGGCCACACGCTACAGCCCGCCCCCCTGCAATGGCCGGGCCTGGGAGCAATTATCCCCCTTACCTCACCCATCAGCGTGGACACGTTCTCCTACAAGTCTGAGTCAGTGTCAGCCCAGAGCCCCACAGAGGTGGTGCTGCCGCGCAGCCAACAGCTACAGCCGGGGCTGCAGGGAAGGGCTGAGGCTCCCCCTGCTCTGTGACTCCAGGATGACCCGCCCAGCGGTGGGCAACTCCCCATGGGCTGCATGGGCAGGGCGGGGTGTTCCCAGCTGGCAGGGCGCTGGGTGGTGGAGCCAGGCACTGAGTGGTTGGTTGCTGTTGCCGAGCAGGTCCTTTTGACCTCGGCCTCACGCGCACAGTGCCCATTCTGCCTCACAAAGGCCCCTCACAGAAAATGTAGGCTGCCCACACATTCTGAGAAAGCATAATTTGTAAGCGCACAATGCAGCTTTCAGTGAATGGAATTTAACCTTGTAGGCATCAAAGAACAGGGAGATGAGCATGAGAAGACAGAGCACAGCTGCAAGAGATAGATAAGACTCTCTTGACTGGTCCTTAAAGTAGGGAGGTAGGCATAAGGAGATAAGACAACTGTCACGCACACTGACCATGCCTGCATCAGGCACTGTCCATGGGGCCATCAGGCAGGCATCATGAAAAATCCTATAGGGCAATATTGCACATTACCTCATTACCAGCCTATCAGGCCCTGCCCAAGAACAGATCCTAATATGGTACCGGACATCAGGTTATGGCATAAAAACCCTCGACCCCTTTGTTCCTAGTGTTGAGGGCATGTGTCTTTTTTGTTTGCCCGGCTGAAGGATTGATCACCCTGAGGCTGCCTCCCCACCCCTCCGAGTTAAAAACAGGGGTGCGCGAGTCCTGAGCATGTTCAGAGTTCTTGTGTGTTTTTATGCTGTTCCCGTTGCTGGATTTGTAAGTATCGCTTAAATATATTAGTTATCGGTTTGGTTAATAGTTGAATCGTGTTAATCTCACTGTGCAATTCTGTAAAGTGTAACTGAGTCTTATTAACCACACTGTGTAAATTGTATAATCTTGGGTTGTGCAATAGTGTTGTATTTAGGCCAAGTATAAGTGTTAGAAAATAGAAACCCAGGAGTTAAGTTGAAGAAGTAAATCAATGACTAACTCTACCAGCTGCCCAAAAATAACCATAGAGGGACTGGCTGTGGGCAGAGTTTTTATTATCATTATATTGGCTTTGTTTTTTGTATTTTTTGCTTGCATGCTGCTCTGCCTTAAGCGAATTAGAGAGAGTAGAGAGAAGAGCGACAAGAATGATTAAAGGTCTAGAGAACATGACCTATGAAGCCAGGCTTCATGAACTGGGCTTGTTTAGTTTGGAAAAAAGAAGATTAAGGGGGGACATGATAGCGGTTTTCAAATATCTAAAAGGGTGTCACAAGGAGGAAGGAGAAAATGTGTTCCTCTTGGTTTCTAAAGACAGGACAAGGAGCAATGGGCTTAAAGTGCAGCAGGGGAAGTTTAGATTGGACATTAGGAAAAAATTCCTAACTGTCAGGGTGGTCAAATATTGGAATAAATTGCCAAGGGAGGTGGTGGAATCTCCCTCTCTGGAGATATTTAAGAACAGGTTAGATAGACATCTGTCAGGGATGGTGTAAGTGGAGCTTGGTCCTGCCTTGAGGGCGGGGGGCTGGACTCGATGACCTCTCGAGGTCCCTTCCAGTCCTATGATTCTATGACTCCAAAGCCCATGCCTCGATTTGTCCTCTAGGTCCAACCCCACCATGAGTGATGGCTCTGTTTTATTTCCCCACTCGCTCAGTCAGTTAACACTCCCCTATTATTGCTTTTCTCAGATTTCCCTCTGGCTCCAGCCCTCTCTGCCATTTCGGATCCTCCCGGGCGGAGCCCAGTTTGTAGTTTCCACTGGGTAGTCGGCTTTAACCCCTTGGGGCCCCCACCACATCACTGAACCAAGTTGCGACAGTTGCCAGGTTGGACGGAAGGGCACAGTAGCCCAGGGGACAGAGGCCGGCTGGGAACCGGGTCAGGCTGCAAGTCACTGGTTTAAAACAAGTGAAGTAGGAGGGGTACATTGAGCAGGGAACCTCAGCTAGGGCCCACTGCTCCTCCAAGCTGTGCAGGGAGCCAGAGGGACTCTGCCCAGATAGGGGGACTTATTTCTGCACCTCCTGATTTCACCTGTCTAGCAGCTTTGGCCAAGAGCAAATTGACAAGATGTTCTGAGGACTTTGTGGGGAGCAGGATGGGGGGGAGGGGACCCAGAAATAAGAGGGGGGGGGAGTGCAGCCAGCATCTCAGGGAAAGGTTCTGGAGGAGCCAGGAAAGGGGCTGCCACCTGGGCTCCAAGTTCTCCCCCATGCACCGAGGGCGGGAGGCGACTGCAGCCAGAGGGGCAGGCAGGGACCTGAGATCCCTGCACCCACCTGTCCGCACCAGAACGCAGCTGCGCGGTCCCGGCGCCACAGCGGCCTCTAGCGGTCCCGGGCGGAACTGCAGCTTCGCCCAGCAAAGTGCGTTTGTGACACTGAAATTCTGCCCCCCCAGAGGCGCAGTGAAAGCGCAGCCCGGTCGTAGAAGACCCAAAAACCACGCACCGACCCCGCCCTCGCTACCCAGCCAAAGAGGGGAGCCGCTGGGGCCGGGCGCCCCGAGATCCGCCGAGCCCCCTTCTGTGTGGGTCTCGCCTCCCTCCCTGCTGGTGGGGCAGCCCCCCCAGGCCACGCTCGCCCCAAGCGGGGCTCAGCGCCCCGGCAGCTCGGTCCCAGCCCC